CCTGCCCATTCCAGCAGCCTCATCCCGGCCGGATAAATCCCACACTGACCGGCGGGTTGGGATCCAGCCGGGATGTTCCCCCCCCCAGGGCATTGTCCATCCCTGGGGTCACTCCGATGTCCCCTCCGATGTCCCCTCCGGTGTCCCCTCCCCTCCCTGGAGCCGCCGCCTCCCGCAGGGCATGGAGTACCTGGGGTCGCGGCGCTGCGTGCACCGGGACCTGGCCAGCCGCAACATCCTGGTGGAGAGCGACAGCCACGTCAAGATCGGCGACTTCGGGCTGGCCAAGCTGCTCCCGCACGACAAGGATTACTACGTGGTGCGGGAGCCCGGCCAGAGCCCCGTGTTTTGGTGAGGGGGGGGCGCGGAGGGGGCTCGGGGTCTCCGCGGGATTCGGGGCTCGGGATCGCCGCGGGACCGAAATCGCCGCGGGATGCGGGGCCGGGATCGGCTCGGGATTGCCGCGGGATGCGGGACCGGGATTGCCGCGGGATGCGGGGCTCGGGATCGCCGCGGGATGTGGGGTTTAGGGTCTCCGCGGGATTCGGGGCTCGGGACCGGCTCGGGATTGCCGCGGCATGTGGGACCGGGATGGGATCGCCGCGGGATGCGGAGTTCGGGGTCACCGCGGGATGCGGGGCCGGGATCGGCTTGGGATGCGGGGCTTGGGATCGCCGCGGGCTCGGGATCGCCGCGGGATGCGGGTTTGGGGTCCCCGCGGGATGCGGGGCTCGGGATCACCACGGGATGCGGGGTCGGGCTGGGATCGCCGCGGGATGCGGGATTTGGGGTCCCCGCGGGATGCGGGGCTCATCATCCCCATCCCCGGTCAGGTACGCGCCGGAATCGCTGGCTGACAACATCTTCTCCTACGCCTCGGACGCCTGGAGCTTCGGCGTGCTGCTCTACGAGCTCTTCACCTACAGCTCCAAGAGCCGGAGCCCCTCGGAGGTGGGATTTACCCCTCGGGAATTTAATTTTGGGTGTCCAGCCCCACCCGGGGACCATCCCCGCGCTCACCGCCGGCCGTGCCCGCAGGAATTCCTGCGGATGATGGGCACGGGCAAACCGGCGCAGATCATCTGCCACCTTCTGGAGCTCCTCAAGGACAACCGGCGGCTCCCGGCGCCCTCCGGCTGCCCGGCCGAGGTGACACCGCCGCTCCGGGGCTGGCGGGGTGTCCCCGAGTGTCACCCCCCTCTCGGCTGATGGCCTCGCCGTGTCCCTTGTCGCCAGGTGTACGCGCTGATGATGAGCTGCTGGGCTTTCACCCCCGCTGCCAGACCCACTTTTGGGGAGCTGTCCCCCAAAATCGAGGCGCTGCGGGATGGGCGGAGCAAAGCCCGGGGGTAGCCCCGCGTTGGGACACTCCAATGTGTCCCCAAATGGCCACGGTGGCGCTTCCTTGTGCTTTGAGGGGTACAGTGTGGGGCAGGAGACCCCCAGCCCCATTTCCCACAGCAC